GCCAGTCCTGTGGCTTTGGGTATGGCTGTCCACATGCCAGAACAGACGCAGGAAAGCATCTGGGGAGCAGAAGCTGTTTAGCAAGGCCCTCCACCCCTCCGGTTGTTTGTTTTTGTAACAAATGGTAGGCACCAAAGGGACAAACAGGCCTAAATGGCTTTCTCCTTTGCCATCTGGTTCTCCGGCAGAGACGGAAAGCCAGACCAGTTTGTAAGGTTTAGAATGCTGAGGAGCCCACTCAAGTGCATTCTCCAGCCATCACCTTTCTCTGCAAGCACAGTCTTCCACCAGGAGAAAAGATGTAGTTACAGGTTGTAAGAGGTAAAACACTGTTCCTTCTCAATCCCCAGTGATTAACACTGTATTGTGAGGCAGTTTTATGCTTTACTTCATGGGACTGTAGTTTAATAAATACAATACATACAGTCAAAGTACTTGAAAGTGCTGGAATTTAAAAAAAAATAGTCTACTGAAAAAAAAACTAGATCCGAAGTGGATAATATACATATAGGATAAAACATACTAAAATCTGTACACCTAAGGAAGCTAATCAGGAAGGAGGACTCTGGCTAAGATGCTCAATCCCCATTCAGAAAAAGCTCCACAAGGACAGTGACAGATCCTAAAAGCCTGGGCACAGGGATCTTTTCTGACACTGATACTCCAGCCAAGGACCACTCATAGAAATATCTTGCAACCACTGCACGGGGAGGTAGCCTATGGCAGTGCAGTATCCAAGTGGCCTCCACAGTAATGGGGACAGGGACTCTCTCTGACAAAAACTGATTGGCCTGCTCTTTGATACCTCCCCCTGAGTGGGGAGCAGCCTTACCAGGCCACAGAGGAAGACAATGCAGCCAGTCCTGATAAGACTTGATAGACTAGGGTCACAGGGAAGTGGAAGAGGACCTCCCTTTTCAGTGGAAGGGAGAAGGACACGGGTGGGGAAGAAGGAGGATGAGATTGGGAGGGGAGGAGGGAGAGAGGTACAGAGGGGATACAAAGTGAATAAATTGTAATTAATAAAATTAATTATTTAAAAAACTGGATCCATTTTGATAGGGGAAAAAAAGAGTTTTGTTTTGGGGATTGAAATATATTTCCTCTGAAATAACTGAAAAATAGATGGCTAAGATGCCCCCCACACTCCCCAAAAAGGGCATAGGAGGAGATGAATGAAGAATGGTGGGGTTGGGAGGGGAGATGGGAGGGGGCTACAGCTGGGATACAAAGTGAATAAAGTGTAATTAATATAAAAAATAAAAACTAAAGGAAAGGAGACAGAAAGATAGATGGACAGGGAAGACAGATGGAAGAAAGGGAGAAAACAAAATAATGATGGATAAAAGGAAGGAGGGAAGAAAAAGGAGGATATGAAAAGGGAGAAAGAAGAGGAAGAAGAGAGTCAGGACTGTAATATTTGTGTCCCACAGTTCTCAATAATGTACCTGTATATACCAAATGGGTTTTCATACCCAATGGTAGCACCATTGTAACCATTCATACCTAGTGACAGCATTATTGTACCTCCAAATAAAACAGCTTTGTTGTCTAATACTCTCATGCAGAGCAGGGCCATAGAGAGGAGAGAAGAAAGGAATTAAGAAAGGGACAGAGGGATGGAGAAAACTCTGCATTAACATATCATATGTAATAATTCGCATTCCTTTGCATTCAGGCATCTATTTGTCCATTTCAGGCAGAAACTAAAAACCCTATGAAAATGGCAGCAATGGTAGAGGCAAGGAGGACCTTACAGGCCTACAAATAGTGGATAATAGGAAGATGTGGGTGCCTCTGTTATGGAGGTACAGGTTGTCATTTGCCAACAAGGTTATAGTGTCAATTTCAGGATAGTATGCTAAACCACAAGTTGAGAACAATGTGGCCATCCTAGCTGCCTATATATAAAGAACAACAGTAAACTGGTTATTTTAATGTTAAAGATTAGTAAAACAAAACATTCATATCCTCATGGAGGAAGTTCCATTAAAAAGTATGTTTCTGCATGATAGACATCAGAAAGGGAGAAGACAGGGAACAGGAGAGAAGACTACTCATAGAGGGCCTCAGAAAGACTCTGTGCATCCATGGTATGGATGCAGATGCTGAAACTCATAGCCAAGCTTTAGGCAGACTGCAGGGAATCTATTGAAAAGGGGATAATTGAAAGACCTAGAGGGGACAGGAACTACACAAGGAGATCAACAGAACTAGTGGGCCAGGGGAGGAGTATAAGGGGAGAAGAGAGAGGGAGTGTGGGACCCAGATGAGCTGAAGAAGGAGGCTATAGCAGGGATACAAAGTGAATAGACTGTAAATATTAATAATAACAACATAGTAAGTATATTTCTGTATCTGGAAAGATGGTTAAGTGTTAAGAATATGTACTGTATTGCAGACACCTGAATTTGGTTCCCAGCATCCAGGTCTGTTGGCTCAAAACTGACTGTCACTACAGGTCCAATGGATCCAAACCCTGCTTTTGACTTCCTTGGGCATGACATCTAGATTCACAAATCATACAAACACACACACAAATGCATAATTGAACAAAGAACAAATAAATAGAAGTGTATGTCTCAGTTTGGACATCTGTTAATGCTAACAGTTGGTTTAATAAACATTGTCATATATTGATAGGTTATTAAGTTTTTTATAAATTTTTTACCTCATTTTTATCAAGAATTCAGAAAAACAGGAGCTGTATATTTGCTTTATTTGGTTTTAGATAACACATACTTTGATTTATTTCTGTCAATCATTCAATTTTTTCTTTCTAATTTTATTATCAAATATTTTCAAAGTTTAATTCTCATCAGCTATGCTGTCATAAAATTGCATTTTCTTTTTTAATTATTCATTTTTATGATTATTATAATTTATTCACTTTGTATCTCAGCTGTAACCCCTCCCTTGTCCACTCCCAGTCCCTCCTTCCCTCTCTCTTTTCCTCCCATGCCCCTTCCCCTAGTCCACTGATAGGGGAGGTCCTCCTCCCCTTCCATCAGACCATAGCCTATCAGATCTGCTCAGGACCAGCTGCATTGTCTTCCTCTGTGGCCTGGTGAGGCTGTTCCCCACTTAGGGGGAGGTGACAAAAGAGCCAGCCACTGAGTTCATGTCAGAGATAGCTCCTGTTCCCATTACTAAGGACCCACTTGGAGGCTGAATTGCCATGGGCTACATCTGAGCAAGGAGTCTATGTTATCTCCATGCATGGTCCTTGGTGGAATATTGGTTTTTGCAAAGACACCTGATCCCACATTTTTTGGTTCTTTTGCTTTCCTTGTGGAGCTGTCCTTCCAGGTCTTTCTATCTTCCCCTTCTTTCATTAGATTCCCTGCACTCTGCCCAAAGTTTGGCTATGAGTCTCAACATCTGCTTCAATACCCTGCTGGGTAGAGTCTTTCAGAGGCCCTTTCTGGTAGGCTACTGTCCTGTTCCCTGTTTTCTCCTGCTTCTGATATCTATCCCATTTACTTTTTGTGTGAGAACCGAGTATCTTACCCTGGGTCCTCCTTGTTTAGCTTCTTTAGGAGTATAGATTTTAGTATGTTTATCCTATATTTCATGACTAATATCCACTTATAAGTGAGTATATACCATTTGTGTCTTTCTGCTTCTGGGATAGCTCACTCAGGATAATCTTTTCTAGTTCACACCACTTACTTGCAAATTTCACGATTTTCTTGTTTTTAATTGCTGAGTAGTATTCCATTGTGTAAATGTACCACAATTTCTGTATCCATTCCTCAGTTGAGGGACATCTGGATTGTTTCCAGATTCTGACAATTAAAAATAAAGATGTTATGAATATTGTTGAGCAAGTGTCCTTTTTGTATACTTGAACATATTTTGGAGGACTGATATAGCTGGATCTTGAGGTAGCACTATTTCTGATTTTCTGAGAAAGCATCAGATTGATTTCCAAAGTGGTTGTACAAGTTTACATTCCCACCAGCAGTGGAGGAGGGTTCCCCTTTCTCCACAACCTCTCCAGCATGTGTTGTCACTTGAGTTTTTGATTTTAGCCATTCTGATGAGCGTAAGGTGAAATCTCAGGGTAGTTTGGATTTGCATCTCAATGATGACTAAGGATATTGAGCATTTCTTTTTTTTTCTTTTTTATTTATTAATTACACTTTATTCATTTTTGTATCCCCCCATAAGCCCCTCCCTCCTCCCCTCCTGATCCTACCCTCCCACCTGTTTTTGTATGCAAGCCCCTCCCCAAGTCCACTGATAGGGGAGGTTCTCCTCTCCTTTCTGATCTTAGTCTATCAGTTCTCATCAAAAGTGGCAGTATTTCTTTAAGTGTTTCTCTGCCATTCTATATTCCGCTATTGAGAATTCTCTGTTTAGCTCTGTACTCCATTTTTAAATTGGATTACTTGGTTAGACAGTGTTTAACTCTTTGAGTCCTTCCCATTATCACTCTAAATAAAATGTTTTTATCTTCTAATCCTCTCATTACCTACATGGTAATGTTTGTGATTGTTTCAAATAAGAATCCAAATATTATACCCATGTTACATTTTGTTTTTTCTGTCATAAGCAATTCAGGCTCTTAAGTCCACCATCCTGTTCTTTTCCGTACTGCTGACATAGGGCCATTTCATATCAGTGTCATCATTTATTATGGTTGTTCTCCCCTTCACCATAGTGCATGCAAGATACAGTCACATTTGAAAGTCTGGGATTGCATTATTTTACTGCAATGCTACTACTTTTGTCTTAGAGATGAGGGCACTAAATTACTAAGAGCTTACATTGTTTTCTGGGATGACACAGCAAACCATGGGAATCTGAGTACTGAACTGTGTCAGGTAATCCTACTACTGCCATACCATGTCTTTGAAGAAGTTGGATGGGCACCACATTCCTGTGATGTTCAATGGGTGCAATTATTTTGAAACTTTTGGTATCACATATCCCATGTGAGTTTCATATATATACATACTCAGTGAAAACTGTTTTCACTGTTTTTCTCTGAGCAGGTCATCAGAAGCCTTGGTCCTTTGGAAATGGTTCTCAATACTCCTAGCCACCACAGGGTTCATCATGGTAAGTCAGTTCTGTTGCTTCTTCATCATTAAAGAAATAGTGTCACACTTTTGCTACTTTAATAATCAAAACAAACCTCACATTGTACACTGTACAGATAAGTGTTGTTTTTTTCTTTTCTATTCAGAGAAGCCTCTGCTTCAAACCATGGCCAGTCCACATGGCCTTTCTCAGTCTCTTCCCATATTATCTGCCTGTGACTGTGAAGTTAGTCAAAGCCCAAGAGAGGATCTTGAAAGAGTCCTCTGTAGGTTACTCTGACACAGTGATGAAAATTTGCCCTGTCCACAGGGAAATTGTTAGTCTTAAAAAAAAAAATTAGCCTGACTACAAGATGTGCAGGAATAAAAATACAGCAGAGATTGAGGGAAGAGCCAAACAATGACTGGCCTGAGTTGAGACCCACCCCATGAGAGAGAGCCAACTTGTCACTAATAATGATTCTCTGCTATGCTTGCAGACAGGAGCCTAGCATATCTGTCCTCTGATAGGCCCCACCCAGTAGGCAATCAAAACAAATGAGACCCACAGCCAAACATTAGGTGGAGCCCAGGGAGGCTTTGGAAGAGTTGGTGGAAGAGTAGTGCGACCTGGAGGGGACAAGAACTCCCCCCAAAAAACAACAGAGTCAAACTAACATAGACCCGTGGGACTCATCACCAAGCATAGAACAGGAATGAACTGGACCTAGGGCCCCCACACATATGAAGCTGATGGGCAGCTTGGTCTTTATGAGGGTCCCCTAACAATTAGAGTGGTGGCTGTCTCTCCCACTGTTCCCTGAATTTTGATCTCTTCCCCCTAGCTGGGATGTCTTGTCTGGGTTCAGTGGAAGAGGATTCACTTAGTCCTGATGAGACTTGATGTGCCAGGGCATGGGAGGAGGACCTCTCTTTTCTGAGGGGGGAGGGGAGAAGAGAATGGAAGGGTGGGACAGGGAGAAGAGTAGAGAGGGGGCTGCAATAGGGATACAAAGTGAATAAACAATGAGAAAAAAATGATGTGAAAGAAACTTTTTTAAAAAACATATACAATACAGGAAACAAACCACAAGGAGCCAATTACAATATTTGAAAAAATACAAGCTTCTTTTAAAAACTTTAAAAAATACATATTGTAATTTGGAAAGACACCTCCCTTTCCTGTCTCAGCTGAGTGAGGAGTTCAGTGCCAGCTTCACTGGTTTGATGAGGAGACTCTATATGGCTGGTGCCCAAGGCACCAAGTTTGGTGAAACTCAAAATATGTTTTATTTGGGCACTATAAGAACTGTTAAGAACGTGCATTATTTGTTTGGGCAATATAAAGAGTAAATTTTTAATGTGTGGGAGCTGTAGAATTCATGAATACATTACAGGCTTTTCATGTAATGAGACCCGGTAGCAGAGAAGTTGCCACAGCCACTTCTTTATATGGGGGCATGAATAAATCTTAGGGCCGTAACGCTGAAGGCTCCAGACAAAGCAATGGACGCTGTGGTCCTGCTGCTCCAAGCTGCTACTTTCACAGGCATTTATTAGAACCCTACAGCATGGCTTCCCAGGCAGAACTCACCTTTCCTCCAGCAGCATCAGAGAGCATGGGTCAGGCTCTTTCAAACTCCAACCTCTCCCCTCTCCTGGGAACACTTAGCAAGGGAGTGTAAGATTCTTGTGGATTCCTCCGCATGAACAGAAAAATCTGGAAAGGGGAGGTCTTGCTGAAAAACAAACAGCTGGCAACTTCTTCCTTTTTACCTCACCTTCCTGCTTCCCCAGACCTCAGTCAGACCTTCTCAGCATCACAGTGGCCCTTACTTTGGGATCCACACTTTGCAGTGAAAGCTGTTCTGGGCACTGCAGGGTGCTTAGCAGAATCCCAGACTCATGCCTGCCCGATGACTATTTTTTTTAAACTTTTAAATTATTATCATTTATTACAATTTATTCAATTTGTATCCCGGCTGTGGCTACTCTCTCATCTCCTGCCAATCCTATCCTCTTCTCCTCTTCTTCTTTAATTCCCTCTCCTAGTCCACTGATAGGGGAGTTCTTCCTCCCCTTCCATCTGACCCTAGCCTATCAGGTCTCATTAGAACTGTTTGCATTATCTTTCTCTGTGGCCTGGCAAGGTTGCAACCCCAAGGGGGAGGTGATTGGAGAGCCTGCAACTGAGTTCATGTCAGAGACAGCCTCTGTTTGCCTTACGAGGGAACCCACTTGGAGACTGAGTCTACGGGCTAAATCTGAGCCAGGGTTTTAAACCCCTGCTTGATACCTTTTTGTAACCTCTTCTCATTGTAATCACCAGTCATGTCTTCAGACCTTGCCAACCTCCCTTAAGGGGCAAGGCACTCTCACACTTGATGGAGAACCATGTTTAGGTCATGTGTAAACTTCCTAGTCTGTTCTCAGGGAGTTTGCTTTATGAATCAACTGAATGCTTCCATGCATGGAGGCTGTGTACCTGAATACAGACGCATGGTGTAGTACCCTAAATTTCTTTTCATTTAGTGACATTTGTATTATTCTGTCTATTTAACTTTTAAAACACATAAAAAGTTAAGAAAAGTTTTGTAATTCAGAGATTTTTGGAGCTGGAAAATTAATATATTGCTAAAAGTTGTAATTCCAAGAGTAATATTAATTCATTGTGCCTTTTATTATCAAAATAGTAGATTATTGATTGAATTTTCTTTCTGAAACATCGGCAAAGAAAATAACTAAAATACATAGCATCAAAAACAATATAAAAAGCAAGTTCATATATTTCCTTTCTAAAAAATTTATTTTTATTATTATAATTTTGTGTGTCTGGGTATTTTCCTGCATGTGAACCTATACACCATATACATAAACCCTTCAGGGCCAGCAGAGGGTGTCAGATGCCCTGGAACTGTACTTACAGACTGCTGTGGGCTGAAGGGGCTGCTGGGGGTAGAACCTCGGAACTCTGTAGTTGCAGCCAGTGCTCTCAGCAGCTGAACTATTGCTCTAGCCACCAAGCACATAAATATTTTCATCTCACGTCCTTTTACTTTGCTCTGAACAATGTGATGTTACTCATTTCTTAGCAGGTTTTATGAAAGTAGTTTTGTGACTACATCTAGACATTTAGTTAGTTAAAACATTGGGAAAATACATGAGCTAACAACAACAAAACTACACTGTTTCTCTTCTCCCTTTTTTTCGCTTTAAATTCTCACATTTGCTTCTCCCTGTTTGTCTTTATATTCATGGCCTTTTTTTTTTTCCACGAATTCTGCTTCTTGCATGTATGATCGATTTATGATTTATGTATATGATGTACATGTGTGCATATTCTTAAGCATAACCTGCTCAGTCTGTTTAATGCTGTTTGAATCTATGTTTTCAAGATTAGCTGTTTGCTACCGAACAAGCAATTGCTGCGCTCCTCACTGGGCAAGACTACCTCTTTACTCTCAACTTCATCCAGTTGCTTGTATATATTTGTGTAGCATTGAGAAGAAGACATTTTTAAAGCCATTTTATTGTTTGAATGTTTCATGTCTCTTCTGAAACAAGAAAACCAAGAAATATTTCAAAATCGCAATTTTATCTATTTAAAAACTTCCTATCACCATTTGTCTCACAGGCAGAAATCGTTACTGCATAGATAAAAACTATGCCGGCACACTCATTATTTGGGATAGAATTTTTGGTAAGTGAAGTGTACAAATATCAAAAGAGTTTATTTAGCTGCTTTGGCAATCATGAAAATTCAATAGTCCTATTGTAACATTTCTCTTCCAGGGACATTCGAAGCAGAGAATGAACAGGTTATATATGGTCTAACGCACCCCATTGATACATTTGAACCATTCAAAGTGCAGGTAATACATTCAGCCTTGGTCTTTCTGAATGCATATGGATTCACAGATTTTATGTTTAAGTGAAAAGTGGGCATTGTAGGTGGAAGTCTTTAACATTGCTGTGAAAAAGAATGTTTCAGTTACAAATGAGTTTGGAAACAACGTTAGGAGTCAAGTGATAACTTCAGTCAGGTGGGCAAAATCCATTAAAACTTATAATAAGAGTTTGCAAATGTGTCCAACATCTCCCATGCAAAGAAAGTGGCTCTTTAGTAAAGATATTCTTTCTCAAACAGACTTGAAATATATTCATGTATTCAGCCGCAGAGGTATGACATATAATTAAGGCTGATCCCACAGTACAAAAAAATATCTGCTTCAAGCCTTCAGACTCTGGTTGGAAATTCAATATGAGGCCTCTACCCTTCTCATCTTAGAACTGGGTGTCAGGGAGCATTACGCATCAGTTAGGTGCACACATTACCTCTCCTGCTAAGACTTCGTGGAGTTGACCAGTTTTCTGCTAGACATGTGGTATTGCTTGTTCACTGGCTTTAGTGGTTGGGACTGGAGAAATGAAGAATGTCTGCAGAGTTCTGACATGTCAGCATCAGACCACCACAAAGGCTCCTGGGGTTAAGGAATTACAAATGAGGAAAAGGTGAGAGCTCTCAGCTAGCTGTGGTGGTCAGCAGTGAGGGTTCTGGGCACAGGCTGGCTGCTGTGCACAGAAACGCTAAAGCTACAGGCTTTGTAGGGCCCGCTTTGCAGAGCTGCTTAACTTTGCAGAGAGCACTGAGATGAAAGGAAGATCTCCATCTATTGAACCTCTGCTCTGTGAAACACCTGCAAACAGAACCAGTCATTCACCATCAGTCATGACTTACCAATCAGTGGCTTTTATTTCTGTTTCCTAGCAAACACAGGTTCAGAATAGTTAAACAATCCCAGGTTCAATTGTCAGCTGTTAATTTAACCTACTACACCAGGACCCAGGCTCACCTAACTCTTTTAAAAACTTTTCACTTTACTGTGGCTTCAGACACCAATTTCGGCCAACCCTTTCTATATTGAAAGTCATTTCTGTGTATCTACAATTGAGAGGGAAAATGCTGATGCTTATCTTCTTGCTCTTTTTTAATACATGAAACTTCTTCCGGTTTTATCCAGGCTGCAAGCAGAACAGGGTGTGTCCCTCAGGAGACAGTAAATACATTTAGATCTTGAGAGCTGGCTCTATTAAATGAAAACCAAGTTAGAAAATATGCATGAAAGTCCCCCTTTCTTTACTTCAAGTAGATTTTCTCCTTAATATGAGTAAATAAAAAGAAATTTAAAAGTCTGTCCAATGTCTCTAGGAGAGAGCTTTTTAACCCTGATGCCAGTGTGACTCATGCCTTTGTAGAGTTCAAATTCGGCTCTGCTGTATTGTGGATTCAGTTTGAAATAGATATTAGGTGATGTCATTATTTTTGATGGATGTGTAACACTTTTGGAAGCCAGGCTTTGGGAATACATACATATACATACATACATACATACATATATATATATATATTATTGTGTTTGAGAATATACATTAGATAGATAGATAGATAGATAGATAGATAGATAGATAGATAGATAAGTAGGTAGATAGGTAGGTAGATAGAAGAGCTAGCAAGCTAGCTAGTGAGGATAAGGAATTCATAGCAGAGAAAATATCAGTGAGTGGATATTGTAAGCACTACATGCATAGCTAGATGAATGAGTAGGGATTTACTAAGTGCCAGAGTGAGAAAATAACAGGAATTCTTGAGCCAGTGCTCACCTAAGTCAATATTAAGCCTCCAGATATCTACCCTCAAAAATGTTTTCAGCATAGTAGTTGTCATGAATGGGTCTAAGGTTTATTTTCATAAGCACTCATTTTACTCACAAGCATCAAGTCAGCAAGTTACAATAGTTAAGAGTTTTTAACACACAGAGTAGTTATTTTCAGTGGCATCCCTTTGCAGAGAGATAAATTACTTATGTAGGATTAATCACCACAAAGGAACCTAAAATTTGGCTCAATGCATACAGGGCTCTGCTTGCTATTTTTTTTTACATACAGAGCATTCATTCTGATGTCTTTTGGTCGACCCAAAATTTCAGAGGATAGGAATCCTAGTAAATTGGGGAATTCTCTTTATACCATTATTACATATTGCTCCTATGTAGTGTCCAGACTTGTAGAAATAAAATTCAAGTACATTTACAAAATAACCAAATGGCTCAATATTTTAATGTGTGATGGAATTTCTAAACATACTAATATCCTTTATTTCTAGTAGTGAAAATCCTCAGGCGAAGCATTTACTTTGGCCTCAAAAACTACTCCATTAAGGCCTATAATAACTCAAGTTGATTCTTGGAATAATTCAAGCAATTATAAAAATCAATTTTTTCTATTCTTAGCAATTTAAATTCATCTAGGGAATGCTAACATACCAGCAAGACCACAAATTCTGAGAGCAAAAACTTTTCTCTCTCCATTAATGCATTTCTATTCTTAAAAAAAAAAAAAATCTCTTATTTAGAGTCTGGACCTGATGCCCAAACCTTAAGAATATATTCAGTCCTAGGATGAATTATGGGCACTTGTGTGAAATTTCTTTATAGCTAAAATTTATTGAGCACTTACATGTGAGTATGATTTTAACCCGCACAAATGTCAAATAAATGCTATTTAAAGAATGCTTATTCCTGCTTTAATACTCATTGTAAATATCTCCCTCAGTCATCAATTATTTTTCATTTTTGTGACAGAATGAGTTACTTAAAAGTTGAAACTCTACAATCAGTAATATTTGTAAATATCTTTTGTTAATATGTTATTAACATAATAAAGTATTGTTTTATAAAACGCAAACAGATAAGCATTCTAGTGATGCCTCCATGTTCAACAGTAATATTCATCTGTTAGGATGTTAAAAAAGAAGTCAGTAGACACAGTTTTTGCTTTTACACAGGTCTAGTCAATTTTATCTGAAGCAGCATTATAACTTTTGTACTATGCTGATTTTTAACCAATCATATTCTTTTTCTTTCAAAATTTTAATTTTTTTAACTTCAAAGGTGTTGATAAGAGCGCATCAAAGACACACAGGATGTTTAAGGTCAAATACAATACAGAATGTGATTTAATTTCAGTATATTATCTATTTTCTCTTGCATGATGTATATTATAGAAAATATGTAAATTACATTGAACATAATAATAGCATATATAAGTAGTTATATTTAATTTCTCTGTTATCTTGTCTTACTTTGAATAAGCTATATTTTTTTTCCAAGTTTCACCACTTATTCTACATATGGACTACATTCTGGGCCACACCTGGATTCTGCCATAAGTTTTCTGTCCTATTCAAAGGACCGGGATGGAGTCCAGGTAAACCAAGACTTGGCCTGAGTGAAGAAATTCCGGAGGTAAGTAGAGTTCATAGCATAGGAGGTGGTGAGGCTAGATATGCAGCCAGTGTGCATGCATGCCATCTTCATGTGGAACTAGAGAATGATGCTCTCTTAGCCTGATGTAGATGGATAGGTTAATGAGGATATACCACTCTGAGGTGGATTAAGAGGGGCGTTGCCTAGTAGGTGGGTACTGGCTCATTACAAGGAGTACATTGGGAAGTAGAACAATTGAAACTAGTGTTGGGTCCTTAGCCATCAGAGACATGCAAATCAAAACGACCCTGAGATTTCACCTTATACCATCAGAATGGCTAAGATCAAAAATTCAAGAGACAACACATGCTGGAGAGGTTGTGGAAAAGGGGAACACTCCTCCATCGCTGTTGGGAATTTAAACTTGTACAACCACTTTGGTAATCAATCTGGTGCTTTCTCAGACAATTAGGAATAGCACTTCCTCAAGATCCAGTTATACCACTCCTCAGCATATATACAAAAGATGCTCAAGTACACAACAAGGACATTTGCTCAACCATGTTTGTAGCAGCTTTATTTGTAATAGTCAGAATCTGGAATCAACCCAGGAGTCCCTCAACTGAGGAATGGATACCGAAATTGTGTACTTTTACACAATGGAATACTACTCAGCAATTAAAAACAAGGAAATCATGAAATTTGCAGGCAAATGGTGGGATCTAGACAAGATCATCCTGAGTGAGGTATCCCAGAAGGAGAAAGACACACATGGTATATACTCACTTATAAGTTGGTACTAGACCTATAAGATAGGATAAACATACTAAAATCTATACACCTAAAGAAGATAAACAAGAAAGAGGACCCTGGGTAAGATGATCAACCCTCACTTAGAAAGACAAATGGGATGGACATTGGACTTAGGAGCAAACAAGTAACAGGACAGGGGCCTACCACAGAAGGCCTCTGAAAGTCTCTACCCAGCAGTGTATCAAAGCAGATGCTGAGACTCACAACCAAACCTTCTGCAGAGTACAGGGAATCATATGAAAGAAATGGGAGTTAATATGACCTGGAGAGGATAGGAGCCCCATAAGGACCAAATATATCTGGGCACAGGGGTCTTTTATGAGACTGTTTCCCCAACCAAGGACCATGTATGGATATAACCTAGAACCTCTGCTTGGATGTAGCCCATGGTAGCTCAGTATCCTATTAAGGCTAGCAGGGACTATTTCTGATATGAACTCAATGGCTGGCTCTTTGACCCCCCCCCACTCCCAAGGGAGGAATAGCCCTGCTAGGCCACAGAGGAGGACTTTGCAGCCAGGCCTGAAGATACCTGATAATCTAGGGTCAGATGAAAAGGGAGGAGGTCCTCCCCTATCAGTGGACTTGGAAAGGGGTAGGGAGAAAATGAGGGAGGGTGGGATTGGGAGGAAATCAGGGAGAGGGATACAATTGGCATACAAAGTTAATAAATTGTAACTAATATTTAAAAAAAAAAAGAAATTAGTGTTGGAACCATTCAAGCCTACAGCCAGCAGCCTCTTCAGAGGTATAACAGAGGTGTACTTGCTTTCCATCCAAAGTCCTAGAACCAGAGAGATGCAAAGACCTTTAGAAATCAGGTCTATTCTTAATCTCACTTATGACAAAATAAAGTACCCTAACTAAAAGTTCTAAAGTCGTATCAAAACAAAGAATTTGCTATGTCAAACCATGGTTGAAATTGATATTAGAATACAAATATTAAATGTAGAAACAACTTTTAAAAAAACAAGAAAAAGAATGTTGATATTTAATACAAGAGTCCAAGAAATGTTTGTTTTTGTTTTTTTGAGTCAGGATTTCTCAGTGTAGCACTGGCTGGCCTTGAAACCACTTTCTAGACCAGGCTGGTCTTAGTCTCACAGAGATCTGTCTGCCTCTGCCTCCTGAGTGCTGGGATTAAAAGTGTGCACCCGCACCATCTGGCTTATGAGACCAAGAAATTTTTTATTTAAATCAGAATTTTTTTCTATAGAAAAATGAAATATTTATTCAATATTTCATGGTATGTACTACGTTTATCAAATAAAGTTCTCAAATAGAAGTACAAAAACAATAGGAAAAGTCAGTTGTCATTTACAAAGTGGTATTTTGGATTAAAAAAAATCATGTGCTGCCTTAAACAATGTATCTTTTAAGAATAACATTTTATTATTTTTAAGCATTTTGAAGTACTCACAGATGATTTCTATCCATTGTTAGTGTGGTTAGTAAGGCTGATACAGATAAAATATGCTCTGATTATTTCTCCTTCAGCCTAGGTAAGAGGGTTTTGTTTTCTGCCCTTTATAACAAAATAGTAAACGTGACGATTTTAAATTTTTTCATTTATTACAATTTATTTACTTTGTATCCCAGCTGTAACCCCTTCCATTGCCCCCCCCAATCCTGCCCTCCCTCCCTCTTTTTTCTCATGTCCCTTCCCCAGTCCACTAATAGGTGAGGTCCTCCTCCTCTTCCATCTGACCCTAGCCTATCAGGTCTCATCAGGACTGTCTGTAGTGTCTTCCTAAAGAAGCTAAGGAAGAAGGAGGACTCTGGGTAAGATGCTCAATCCTCATTCAGAAAGGCAAATGGGATATACCTTCATGTTTTGTTTTGTTTTGTTTTTAAATCAAAATAAAAGTATGGCACAGTACCTCTAGACAAGATGTCAGTTTAAGAAATTATTGTAATAAAATACCACTTGAAGCTCGGAGAACCCTCCTTCATTGCTGGTGGGGATGTAAACTTGTACAACATCTAGCACTTTCTAAGGAAACTCAGAATAGTGCTATTTCAAGACCCAGCTATACCACTCCTGGGCATATATCGGAAAGATGCTCGATCATACAACAAGAACATTTGACAAAATATGTTCATAGCAGCTTTGTTCTTAATAGCCAAAATCTGAAAACAACCTAGATGTCCCACCATAGAAAAATGGATACAGAAAACTCCACAAGCAGAGCAACAGAACAAGATAATTTGAACACAGGGAACTTCCCAGAGACTCATACTCCAACCAAGGACTATTTGTGGAGATGACCTGGAACCCCTGCACAGGTGTAGCCCATGGCAGTTCAGTGTCCAAGTGGGTTCCATAGTAATGGGAAGAGGGACTGCCTCTGACATAATCTGATTGGCCTGCTCGTTGATCACTTCCCCCTGAGGGGGGAGCAGCCTTACCAGGCCACAGTAGAGGACAATGCAGCCACTTTTGATGAAAACTGATAGACTAAGATCAGAAAGAAGGAGAGGAGGACCTCCCCTATCAGTGGACTTGGGGAGTGGCATGCATGCAGAAAGGGGAGGGAGGGTGGGATTGGCAGGGGAGGAGGGAGGGGCTCATGGGGGGATACAAAATGAATAAAGTGTAATTAATAAAAAAAATAAAAGATTTAAAAAAAAAAGAAATTGTGGCACGTTTACACAATGGAATCCTACTCAGCTATTAAAAACAAGGAAATCGTAAGATTTACAGGCAAATGGATGGAACTAGAAAAGATCATCCAGAGTGAGTTATCGCAGAAGCAGAGAGACATGCATGGTATATAGTCACTTACAAGTGGATAATGGCCATATAATACAGGATATAGTTACTGAAAAATCTACAGACCTGAAGAAGCTAAACGAGAAGGAGGACCATAAGGAAAATGCTTAATTCTCATTATGAAGGGAAAACATGATAGACACCAGAAGTGATAGAAGAGAGGAAATTGAACAAGAGCCTACCACAGATATCCTATAAAAGGCTCCACCAATCAGGGGATTGAAGTAGATTCAGAGACTCACAGACAAAGTTTTTTTTTTATTTTTATTTTTTATATTAATTACAGTTTATTTACTTTGTATCCCAGCTGTAGCCCCCTCCCTCATTCCCTCTCAATCCCACCTTACCTCCCTGCCCCTCTCTAAATCCACTGATAGGGCAGGGCCTCCTTTCCTTCCATCTGACCCTAGCTTATCAGGTCTTACCAGGATTGACTGCAATGACCTCTTCTGTGGCCTACCTAGGCTGCTCCAACCACGGAGGGTGGGGATGTCAAAGAGCCAGCCACAGAGTTCATGCCAGAGACAGTCCCTGTTCCCCTTACTAGGTAACCCACTTGGATACTGAGGTGCCATGGGCTACATCCGAACAGGGGTTTTAGGTTATACCTATGCATGATCCCTGGTTGGAGAATCAGTCTCAGACAAGCCCCTGTACCCAGATATATTTGGTCCTTGTGGAGCTCCTGTTCTCTCCAAGTCTTACTCTCTCTTCTTTCATATGATTCCCTGCACTCTACCCAAAGACAAACTTTTGACAGAGCTCACAGGGTGTCTTACAGAAGAAGGCCCATATAGAAGGACCTGGAGGGTACAGGAGCCCCACAAGGAGACCAGCAAAACAAAAATTCTGGGTCCAGGGACTCCTGCAGAGACTGATGAATCAACCATAGGCCATGCATAGACAGTACCTAAATCCCCTGCTCAAATGTAGCCCATAGACAGCTCAGTCACCATGTGGGTCTCCTGGTAAGAGGACCAGAGGCTGTCTCTGACATGAACTGGTTTGTCTGCATTTTGATCACTTCTTCCTGGTGGGGTAACCTAACCAGCCCACAGAGGAAGAGAATCCAGGGAGTCTTGACTGGACCTGATAGGCTATGGTCAGACAGTAGGGGAGGAGGACTTCCCCTATCAGTGCACTAGGGGAGAGGGGTAGTGGAAGAAGAGGGAGGGAGGGTGGACTGGGATGCAATAAGGGAGGGGGCTACAATCGGGTGACAAAGTGAATATATTGTGAAGAAGAAGAAGAAGAAGAAGAAGAAGAGGAGGAGGAGGAGGAGGAGGAGGAGGAGGAGGAGGAGGAGGAAGAAGAAGAAGAAGAAGAAGAAGAAGAAGAAGAAGAAGAAGAAGA